TTTTTTGGAAACTGTTGGTTTTTGGAAAATAAAAAAATCATCTCTTGCCGAAATGTAAATATTTAAGGCATCGAGCTTAGCAGATGGCTTTTGTAAAGGAGAGAAAAAATCGAAAAACATATCATTACTTTGTGCTACGGTAAATTAAAAAAAGTATAATTTTGGGAAAATGTGTACAGATTTTTCGTAAAAATACGTTGAAACTTCAATGAATGCATTAAATCGTAATTTATGTTTAATGTAAATATTTGGGTATTAACTATAATTAAAGTAAACGTTCACTAAAAAGGTGGGTTGTAAATTTGTTTGTAGTGTTTGAAAAGTTTCGATTCTAAATATTTTAATGGATTGTTTTGCTTAAGTATTGTAACTGCTATTCTCAACGTTAAACTTTCATTATTATAGAAATATCATTCACCTGACAATAATTCAATTTTTTTCAAAAATTCGCAAAATGTTGGGGTATAATATATATTTATTGCTCTAAGCACTGAAATATACTCTGTAAGAAGATGTGTACATGATAACATGTAAGATTTGATACGAAAGTGTAGTAGTGTTACAACAGCTCGTATTAATAGAAGCGGCTACGCATCAGAATGGCAGAATGTGCATCGCGGAGCATATTTTGTTTCCAGGAAACCAACCCTTGTTTCATAGGGACATGTGGAATTGGCATGTCTTGGTTAAGATCGAGGAGAGAAAAGTGTGCTGCGTGCACTTTGTGAAGCTGAGAAGCATATTGCTTCTCTCCAAAGTTCTTCCCCATAGTTATTATCTGTTTGGCCTGGAGGTTTGTTAGTTTTAACCACGTCCTTCCTTACCGTAAATTTAGAAGATTAAGTTGAAATAGGCCTTAATAAGTTAGCAGTCCAATTTCATTCCTTTTCTAAGTGACAAAAGGTGTCAAATGATAATTCTTTTAAACTTCAACTAACCCCAGTTATAAAAACGGAGTATTCTAATATATAGACGCATGTAGATTGCTGGATATTTCGTTCATCTATAGTCCCTAATCTTTGCCACTCGCGAAACAAAACAAGAAAAACTACTTTACAACTGCACAATGTACGAAAATAGTAAGTTTTGAAATCGAAGTTTTGAATCGATGGACAAATGACGGTTTAATTATATTAATTTTAAAGTATTAAATTAAGGGTATATGTACTTCCAAATCTATTAATAAGAGCAAGTGAGAACAAACCTAGCGCTCACTACCTTTCGTTGAATGAAAAAAAAAAAAACACGAAAAGTCGTTGAGTAGAAAACTCAAACTTCTTTCTAAACGATAACCCTTAATGTTTTAAATGTACAGATATTTCAAAACTACGATCTAGGGAATCATGAACGTATACTATTAAATGTTTCGTCGTGCGTGACATGGGTTTATTAGTTTGAGAACAGATTTAAAATATCAAAGCGCAGTTTGCACAACCGGAAACTTATTACAAATAATAAGAAAATATGTAGTAAATTTTAGGAAAGATTAGGAAAAGATGCGTTATTTTTGGGATCCGATACACAATAACATGGTTTTGATGTAACATCAAACAACTACGAAGTAAATTTGTGTAAAAAAAACAGGAAACGTTTCCTTGCTAAACGTTTCCGTTCCACAATAAAATTACATAAATATTTTTGTTAATGCTGGAATAAAATCTGGAATGTTTTGTACGTCCATTTGATAGGGTTTTGTTGTATGCATAGTGAAATGAATGTGTATGAATACTAGACTTTGGTGTTACGAATGTTCTATTCATTTCTCTCTCTCTCACTCTGGTACTACAATTTAATTTTGCTGGTAAAATTACTCGTAAATGCTAGAATAGATGAGAATTTGGATTTGACAATTAGATCGGAACAAGGAAGAATGAAATAACATACATGGTAAATCAAAGTATCTCGAATAGATGGAGCTTTTAGCGTTTTACTAATTGTAAGCATTGTGGCACTATCTGCCAGCAAATGGTGAAACGATAGAACCCACAGTACCAGAAGTGACCGAGCGGAGCGCTAGTGCCTTTAGCAACGTTTCGTCGATTACTCGATGGTGATGTCGACTCTTAAGCTCTTCATTTGAAATGTACGTTTTTGTAGTTAATAAGATTACATTGTAATTTCGAATCTTCTAAACCCCTCATTTGAATCAATCGCTTTTGTATATTATGAAGTTTCAAGTTTTTTTTAACAGTCTATTTTTGTTGTTGTTGTGGAGCGTTCACATTCATCGATTATATTTTTGTCGCAATCTGGGCTTCAAAATCTCAGTCTTCACCATGAAAAATCAACCACTTTGCCACTTACCAAGAAAATGCTTATTTCTATGTTTTAATGAATGTTACAATCCTACAGTTCTGCAATCATTAATGTTCGACGTTATATCTCACTTTTTTCAGAAACTCATTTTATATTTTTAGACAAAATTTCTGCTTTGAAACCGAGTACTTGGATGTAGCAAAAACACATTTAAAAATTCCCTTAATCACTTACCCAATTTGAAAAATATAACCTATTTTTCCGTATTTTAAAGATTGAACCAAATTCTTTCAAGAGCTGAATCACGGGGTTCGTCACATCGAAGTTGTTCTCATGAAACGAACATCCCGAAAAAAACTATTTCAATTTGTAATAATTTTTACCCTATAATCGGTTGTAATAATTTAATTTCAAATTTCAAACATTCACACTGCATAGAAGGAGAATACGTACAAAGCAGATGATTAACTACACCCAAGTCCGACCTACCTCTTTGCATATCCGACACTCATGCGTTCAGAATAGAGACTATGACTTGTTTTTTCATGTCCCATTCAAATAAGAAGTAGTGAGAGCAAAAAGAAAGGAAAACACGAAAATGGTGGCTTTTACGTGTTTTGAAAAAAACAAAAACAACTTTTCTGGCACTCATACAGACGGCGACCCTGAAAGAAAAACGTGACAGAAATACAATAGATAGACAATACAATAGACAATTGTAGATACCAAACTATGAAAGTAAACATGTACAGAATACTAGAATATTGCGTTTCCCTTTCATTTATACATGGAATTTATGCATTTTCATGGAAGCGGTACCATCGATTTAATTTTTTATTCAGCACTTGCCGCGTTGGCAACGTTCTTATGAGATTTGTCTCGAAGCACGCGGCGGGGAAGAAAACGACGAAGATTCAATATCGCCCCCTTGCTGCGACGGACGAGGTGCAAAAATTCAATGGCCGCCTCCAGTGGCGCTCCGCTGCTTGTGGCGCAGAGCGGCACAGTGGGACACTAAACATTTATTTTAGACATTCGCTGGTAAAGGCTGGCCTTTGAGAAATTTTCAGAAATGCATGGATTGAAGCGGCGGTGGTTGTTGCTGAACCCTAGTTCACTGTGATCTGAGTGGCTATCATTTTACGAGATTCCTCGGGCCTATCAGTTTTAACATTTTACCTTGATCTCAAACGCAGTACGAGATATGACTTTTATTATGTTTCGTGCGATATTTGATTTAATGTTATGGAGGAACAGGCGTTTCCGTTTCGTCCGAATAGCGTTTGGATTCAACTAGGGTTTGGATTCAACTAGGGTTTGGATTCACCTAGGGTTTGGATTCAACTAGGGTTTGGATTCAAGTGCAAACGTGAAAGCCTGTGGACCGTTTTGCTTACAAAACATTGCGTCTTTCCTCACGTACTAAGGAGAGTACCATCTTTTTGCATCGTCGCGTGCCTCCGTAGGTTCTAAGAGAAATCTTAGTGGACTTGCTTCAAAAACAGTGTGCTAATTTTAAGAGAGCATTTGAAGTCATACAGGAGTGGAAAGTTCAACATACCAAACTTATATTTAATCTTATATTTACGTTTGTGAAAAGCACCAAGCAGATTCAGAACCTTACTACAATAAGAAATGTCAGCCCATAAAAGCATTAGAATTTTCTCTTAAGCACTACGAATGTTTAGAGTGAGCTTAAATATTACCTGTCTGTTGTTCTTTTACTACTTGAGCTTCAAATTTTCTTGCGATCGGCCCTTGTCATATCCGCCCACAACGCTTTCTCGCGGTAATCACGGAATGTCCTAGAGAATACATTACCTTCTTTTGTAAAATTTAATAACTCCCATGAATTTATGAGAGATAACGGGACAAAAACTATATCCCACTGAGAGAAATGCAGTTCTACCTCAATTCACTTTCAACGTTTCGTTTCTGACTTTTGACCATTTAATAAAACGCTTTGAAAGAGACGCTACAAAAGTCTGGAATTACTAGCCTGTGATTCCATGGAATTTGACGCACATAATATAGTGGTATAGTACACTTTTATTACCATGAAAACATATTTATAGAGCCAAAATACACATTGATCAAATAAAATTTAAAAGAACATAAATATACACAGTAAGTGAAAACATGGTGTCAAAACATGATAGGTGTCAAAACATGGAATTCCGAGATAATTAAAAAAACTGTATCAAAAACTCTCGGGGCATGGCTGATGCGCATTGTCAAGTGGCGACAATTTGAATCCCTAAGAATGAGAATTTCAGATAGCCCATATTACACCGCATTGCGCTTAACGCCACGCGTTTTAGCAGAAAATGCAAATTTTCACATTTTGGAACGCAGCCAGGGTTTCATTTATACTCTACAATTGTGAAAATAAGGAAAACAAATTGCATAATGAATAAGAAGAAATTAAGGACCGTGTTGTCCGACACGGTTCTTTTTATGTATTATTCAATTTGTGCGATTTTGGGAGACTTAATTTACAATCTAAATGGAAAAATCATTTTCGAGAAAATCATCACGAGCTTAGATGCGATGTTGTGGACTTACAGAGACATACTCCATTATGCTCGGTAAATTGAAAGTTACTGCCGGAGAAATAATTCTTAAGTTGACGAAAGCGGTAAGGCATGTTAAAATGTTGTCTTCGAACATATTATAACGTACTATTTTCTTAGAAAGTATGTCTAATTTTTAATTTCTTACACAGTGTTTATCTTTATTTTCAGGTGTTCATTGTGGCTGTTGGCGAACCAATGATATTTTTCAAGTATACTTCAAAAGGTATGTTCCATCAATTTTTTCCATTTAATTTCCAATTTTCTGGCATTTTTTTCTTTTTCCTTCCACCGGCGAATGTTTGTACTTTGGCACGTTTGTGCAACCACCAGATAATCGATAAAATCTATATTATTTTGGGAATATCTTTTTTCTTACCATGACAGTCAACATTAAAAATATGGCTGCAAAATCAATGTACATGAAATCATTTTAAAATCAAAGAGCGCCCAAAGAGCGCATTCTCCGACGACCGGTGCTCTCCCAAGCACTGCACCTCGTCACGCTCTTCAGCTCACACTGCGTTTACTCTTTGGCCCTATGTTTCAACATGCGGACCTGATTGTATTAGCAGCGCAATGAGCCACCGACTTACAGCGTAGAAGCTTCCTGGTTCTCGCTGCAGAAAGCAGCGCAGCGTCGGAGAGAAATACCAATTTTCTGTCTACGTCTGACACTAGCTGCAACTTTATTTGATTAATTTCGCCTGTTATTGAAAATAAAAAAAATCAGTTAATTCTTGACGGCTTTGAATGCAATTCTAATAATGCTTGGGGAATTTATTTTCGTTTTATGCTAGGTTTGTTGGTTCAAAATGTGAGTTTGATGAGTTTGTTCTTTTACATTTGGTCGGTAGTCATCGCGAGCATCTGGAACGGTCGTTACTTAATGAAATGGCCGTGAATGAGTGTATGGTCCAAAGATAGATATAATACAAAAATTGTTTGTGATTTGATTTATTTATTTAATGAACTGTATGTGACGTATGGGGGAGATAATCAGCTGCGCACGTTTTCTAGAGTTCCAGAACCGTTTCCCAAAATTTAAACTATAAAGAGTTGAAAGATGAATTAAAGTTTTTAAAAAACAATAAAAAAAGCACGAGATTAGCACCATTTGTAGAAACTAGACGTTTTCGTTCCCGAGTTATAGAAATCTTATTTGCATCGGCCTACAAACTCCAGATTAGATTCCTCTCTATTGCCAACAAAATAGCAACTCACCCCAGCTCTACTCTACCACTACCACTACTACAAGAAAAAGAATCGTTCAAAAAAATGTACGCGTAATGAAGATATATTTATGTCCAGAGCATAGCAAAGACCCATCTAGCATTTGCTAGGAATGGATCAAGGAAAATTGACAAAAACCTGATCGAGATGGGTTGTTGATGCTGCCGGCTAATCATATTTTTCATGAAAGTAAGAATCTCTACTGATTTAAGAAAGAATACATTCCCGGAAAATTACAGATCTTTCATTATTGCAACATTTACCACGGTAGTACTCGTTGTAAAAGTGATCACGTATTTTCGTGTTTCGTGTTTGTTTGTATGAATTATATTACCGGCAATTATCTCGATGCAGAACTGATACAAAAACTCGAGCGCTTACTGAAAATCAAAGCTTGAGCCGAGTACATGGAAGGTGAAAATAGCTGACACAGACGCTGCTTATAAAAGTTTATAAGTAATGTTTGAATATATTATTTTAATAAACTTAGTTTTAACTAATTTACATGAATTGCTTGCGTTATATGTTGGTGTTCTAAATTTTGGACAATACGTTTCCGTCATTCCATGGAGCTGTAACCTATGGTTTGTTGGGGCACCAGCCGCGTTTGCCGTCCACTATTCTTTTTTTAGCTTACTTGTGTCATGTTTCTAAATGATTTCATCACCAGACTATTTCCAAAAACTTAAATGATAATCTTTTTGAAGAAATTGTTATTTTTTTCATATCATTCCTTCCATCATATTATTATATTCATTAGTCATCATCATATTATTATTCAATTTCAGTAATCTATTATTTAATGGTCTTCCGTTGCTCTTTCATCCAGACAATCCACTTCGTCTGGTCTCTCACACACGCGCCCACCCGCTCGCTGTGCGTGGCTCTAACCCTCATACACCCACATACTCCTCTCCCCTACCATTTCTACCTCCCCTCACCCTTTCTTTCATGCGGTCGGAATCACACCCCACCCCATCGACTCTCCGCCTCCCACTCGCTACGAAAAACCCAAAATACCCATCCACCCCCGGCGCGCTCGGTGAATTGCGCGCGGGCGTTTTATTCGCGAGTCGTGCGCGCGCCGCTAGAACACGCGTAAGGAGGCGCGGCCACTCGGGCGGGGCTCTCTGATCTTGGGAACGGGCGCAGCGGGCGCTCTTACGCGGCTCAAAGGAGCGCGTTTCCCTTGCGCGGGCCGCCACGCCCCCGCCCC